CGGCTCTCCTCCTCTCCTCAAACTATAGTCCAGCCCCCCAACATTCTGAGGGACTGTGAACTGGCCCCCCGTTTAAAAAGTTTGAGGACCCCTGATCAAGGCAAACCATAGAGTCTACGTTATGCATACTGCCTATTATGCAAATAATTCTGACTACAGCCTCCAGATTATAGCCACAATCTAGCAGGTCCCTGTATGTGTACAAACAGGGCTTGCATACAAGCAGTAGCATATTTACTTAACATTTTGTTTTGTTTTGCAACAGCAGATTATACAAGGTTAACTGATTCTCATGAAGCAATCGTTAAAGCACGTATTAGCAAACATGCATACAAGTATTAAAACAGCCAATGCAATTTGTCTGTTTTGCAAAGAAGGCTCCATTTTCTGCTTTTATGAAGAGATTTGAAAAGACCCATTTCTGCAGCATTATGGAGTAGCTTAACTTGAACAGGTCAATACAGCTAGGAAGAACACTTGTTGCTAGTGTTTGTGAGATCATTCATCTCACCCTAGTAATAATGTAATTTAGGTAAGTGCTTGCCTTTAAAGAAAGGTGTGATAAAAATCCCTTCTGTTTAAAATAAATGTTTGACTTTATACATTCAAAAAGAACAGACAGTGAAAGTTAAGGCCTCACTTTAACTAATTTTTATGTATCTAAATTTACTATTTTTCTGTTGTAAATTGGGGCAACTTTAAGATGCTGACAATATAGGGACAACATCTACTGAACTGCATACCAATTTCAACTTATTTTATCAGCAGCACAGGGGGAGAGGGGAGGGGGCAAGGGGATCTGAGTGCTGCAAGCATTATGGTGGCAAACCCTGCCCTTTTTCTATATGTGTCACTAGATAGCACTCCCCCCAGAGTCAGAACTTGTGGCATGACACTGCAGCACTGTTTTCATCACAATGACATAAACAGCAAGAACCTGCAGGCACTACTATTTCTTATGTATGTTCTCTGCTTGAATTAGAGTGAAAGCCAAGACTGAAAGCTATATATAAATTGACAGATACTGAATGTCAATATGCACATCAACAAGACTGATGCAAATGGGTACTGAGATAAGAGTCAGTAATAATTATGAACTTATTCCCAGATCAGCAAGAGAAAGAAGATGGAATCTCCAATTTTTATGAGTGAATATATAAACACATAAAGGATTGGCTTTGCAAGAGGTCAGGCTTGTTTAAGATAAATTCTTAGTTTAACACACAGCAAATGTTATATTTTTATAATACTTGATCTTTGCTAGTTTTAATTTTGGCTAAGTATACTTAAAACTGGTGCTTGGGGAAGAAGATAAATTCTGTCAGAAGCTGGTCCTCAGAATTAATTATTTACCACCATATCTGTTAATAAACATTTAGTCCAACAGTCCAACATTTCTGACATCCTTCCTTCTTTCCCCGTCTGCTTTGTAACAGACTCTCAAATCACTATGGTCAAAATCCTGTAGCCGCTTACTTAGGAATAAGGACCACTGAATACAAAGAGACTACCTCTGGATATATAGGTTTGTGCTGAAAAATACTGATAACTTGCTTTGGATGTGTCTAAAGAGCAGTATACAAATTTTAAAAATTAAAGAAAATACTTACTGGTTGGAATGCTTTCACAAATATCAGATATGCCTCCAGAGTGATCATAGTGCCAATGAGTTACTAAAATTTCCTGGATGGAAATGTTGAATTCATGAAGTGTTTGTTTCAAACAGTTTATATATTCAGGAATAGATGGCTGTCCTGTATCTATAAGGATCCTTCTATAATAAAAACAGATTAGCCCAAGAAAGATACAGGCTTGGTTAATAAAAAAATAATTCTAGCAACTTTTTGATCCAGAAAAAAAAGTATAATGTAACATGAAAAGAAACATTTCTAGATCCCACTCCTTTTGTGTAATTTGGAATCCTGAAGAAAATTATATAAACTGCAAACTGGGCCTATATGCCTCTCTGGTTGTCACTGAGCAGCTTACATACCCTATTTTATATAAAAAAGTTAAAATTATATGTAAAGATCAAACAAGTAATAGCTAACTCATAATTCTATATCAGGAAAAATAAGCAGCCTAGTTCAAATAGCCAAGGGGGAACACTTTATAACACATCTGTCCTTAAAGCCTGCTGGAAGAACAAGTTTCCAAGTGCCTTTCTAAACCGAGTAAAGTTGGAACTGTACAGATCTCAAGTGGGTTGGTGTCCCAAAGAAGCCTCTTTTAATTTCATAATATTATACTACACAGCTAACAAGCCTATGCGAAGAAAGATAATGGAGGAAAAAACCCACTGGAGCAGAAATCTAATCAGGTGAATGAAAGAAATGATACTTTATAAAACAGTGGATCAAAGAGTAAAAGTGGATTAAAGAATAAAAGCGTAATGAAGAGAAAGCTGCCCATAGAAGGGGAAAAATATTGCCAGGAGCAAAAGAAGACATGACAAGCTGAACAAGATTCCAAGTAAGACTTATATTGTCTAAGAGGAGAACTAAACTGTATCAGCCAAGATTCAGGATCAGGGCTGTGGAAGAACAAATCATGTGCCCTAGATAGCATACTCAGTGTTTATCCTCAGATGCCTGTAACTACATCATGAGCACGCCCAGCTGCTTTTAAATGACCTGTGTACCTGACATTGCCTTGATTTCATCCATCCCACAGTAAAGGCGGCCTAAAGTTAGCTACAGTAATTCCAGTTTTAAAGTACAGGCAGTCCCCAGTTTAAGAACGAGTTCTGTTCCCAAGGTCTGTCGGAACAATAATACTGTTCTGACTTACATACAAATTCCTTAAGTTGAATTTGTAAGTAAGCCAGAACAGTATTATTGTATAATACTGTTTAAGTAGTATTGTGTAATGAACTCGAACCATTGTGTATTAAACTCAAATTGTGCTACACTAGGCTCTGTTCTTAACTATGGGTTGTCTGTAACTCAGGTGTTCTTAACCCAGGGACTACCTGTAGTATTTTCCCTCTTTGACCCAATTTTTGCCATGAATATGACTTAGAATGCTTCACTGATAATAGTGAAGAAGGGAGGGTCGGCCCTTCTTTGGTCATTATAGGCTGTGGTGGGTACACACGCTCTCCTCTGGTCCCTGCTCCAGACCCATGACCAACAGGCATTTGCCCACACAACGCCTGGCTGGCTCTTTCTAAAGTATTTGTCAGTGTTACATAAGGTCCTTATTTGCACTTGTGCGCTTAAGATTTAGCGTACTTATGAAAGCACTAGACCTGTTTCAGGTTTAGGGCTTTTGAGAAATAACTTTCGAAAAGAGCTCTTTTCAGCTACACAGAACATTGGTTTGAACTGAGAAAGGGGAATATTTGTGGATGTGGCTTGTCAGGCATTACCGGTTCTACAGTGCTTCTGCCAGCAAGAAAATTTGCTTGAACGTGTTTTTAAAACCGTTTTTATTGTTTAGGGAGTGATGCCATTTTACTTATTTCTACAGCACCACACCTACTACACAGGCTACTTCTGGGTATTGCTGACCAGGGCCACCTGCTGCCAGCACTTCTATTCCTTGCGGCACTAATTTAGGATGGAGCTTGCTTACTATTAATTGTTACTTGTTTCATTCCACTCCTCCAATGAGTGTGGAATCAGCCATGGAGAAGGAGTGTGGGGTGAAGGGGAGTGTCCCCAATGCTTCTCACAATCCCTTCTCCCTATCTCTGACCTGCCACTGGCCTGCCATTTCTGAACATGGGCTCTCCTCTGCACCTGTGAGCCATGCTGTTTTCAGACACGGGGTCAGCACCATTGCGAAAGAACACAAGGCTCATATCCAGAAACAGCCAACCCACTGCTCACAGATGTGCAGCATTTCTGTGCCTGCAAGCTCTTAGTTGAGGGGTGACTAAAAGCGCATATGCCACACTTGCCTAACCATTCCCCACCACACATTAAGGAGATTCATTGGTGTTGTTTTCCCTGCCACTGGATGATGCTCTGTGGCAGTGTTTCTCAAACTTGGTTTGAAGCTGAGCTGGCTGGGGAATTCTGGGAGTTCAAGTCCACACATCTTAAAGTTGCCAGGTTTGAGAAACACTGCTCTATCGGAAAGGAAAGGAAGATTGTTTTCCTTAACTTGTCCTGCTTCCTGGCTTTGTCAAGGAAACAGAATAGGGATTTGCAATTTCTGTGAGTTTAAGGCTGGACTTAACTTTAAAAAGTTAACTTTAACACAACAATGAGGAAGGGTCCTAAGCCTGCACTTTTGGGGAAGCAAGACCCCTGGACTTCGATAGGATTTCTGAATAGAGAGGAGAGGGCCGCAACACACACTGCGAGGCTTTTACATTTAAGTACGTGCACAGAATAATCCTGCTAGCGATGTCTCCCCCACTATGGTTTGGGGGGGGGCGTTTAAGATGAGCAAAGCAGTGTTCTGTTATTTTATCTAGGCCCCGCCTTCTCTGGCACCACAACGAGGAATCTTCTTTGCCGTCCCCCACGCCCACCCACGGTAGGCAGCTCGGGTGCATCTTCAGAGTCGCACGTGAATCGCGGGGGGCCGAAGGAGGAATTCCCGGGTGGCGCCCGAGCCTCGCCTTGCTGAGCGGGAAGCCGCTGCGACGGAACGGGAGGCTCAAGCCAGGGAAGCGCGTTACCCACCGGGGCCGCCGAGCCAACAGGGCCGAGGCGGTGGAGGCCGGAGCTCCGGCCGCCGCGTCTGCCCCTCGCCCGAGCTGCTTCCCACGTACCTGGGCCCGGTTCCCACCAAGTAGGTGTTGGTCCCCTGCAGCGTCATAGGCCCGGGGTTACAGCCCAGGACGCGAACCACCCGCGCCGACAGCTGCTCCACCTTGGGCAGCACGGAGACCATCTTCGCACCGCTCTCGCGGCCAACCTGAGCCCGGCGACAGAGGGGACGGGCGGAGGAGGAGCAAACGATATAGAGATAGGAAAAAGGGTAGAGTGACGACTATGGAGACTTCACTTGTTGGCTTCTTGTAAACACCGGCTGAGTTTAATTTTCTCGCTCGCTCCCCTCCTTGGTCAGAATTTTTGGGGGCACGAAGAAATCCAGGGTGTTAAAGAATGCGATTTTTCCACGGTCCGGGTTCACATGTGCACACAGTGCAAGGGAAAGAGAGATTGCTGCAAGTGTGGAATGTAAGGAAAGAGTTAACTGGGCGCTTCCTCGAGAGCGAAGCGGGCAGAACTTGGAGAGAACGAGGGGATCCCGGGGACGCGCTTTGCAGACCAGCAGGTCCAAGGCGGGGGAGGCTGAGAAGCTGGTCCAGTACGCGCAAGAGAAGAGGGAGGCGCTTTTAGCAATCATTCTGTAATAATACCCTGGAAGAGTTTGTTTCTAACATCTGTCTTTATCTTTATGCAACATATATCCTACATTATTAGTTCTGTAATGTTATTGTTCAATAAAAGCTTGTTTATTATCAGCTGGTCTTCTGGATAAATGAATATATATCCCCCATAAGATACTATGCTAACGTACTAGAGGAGATAATTTTATCTGGCACGATGTCGACAATTACTTTATATTTTCTATCCATGCTTGATAAAATAGAACAGTGGTTTGCTATTTACCTTCTCCTGTGCCATATGACATGATGCCTTCCCTATTCTAGTAAAGTGATCTAAAGATGCCCCCACCATCTTCTTATATTGCTGCTGCCCAATATAGGGGCCTGCTTGCTTTAGCTGGGCAGCTGGGATTCTCGCTCATTTCCTGCAGGAGCACCCCTCTGCCATAATGAGGCAGCCTTGCAGGACTTGACAGAGAACTCCTATCTAAAAAACAAAGAAACAGACATCAACATTGGGACTACTAGATCTGGGTTGCAAAACTAGATAACCACTCTTGGAAGCAAAGAATTAAGCTAACTAGCAGTCCAGATGTGATAGCCCTAAATAAAACTGGAATTAGGTTTGTGGAGAATTCATGGAGGGAACTCCTTTGCCCTGCTTATTTCCATCTGGGTGGGCAATTTGGGTACCATCCAGATGTTTTGGAATTCAGTTGCCATAAGTTCCCATTTAAATCACCATAGTCCAGCGTTTGTCAACCTCAGCCATTTTAAGATGTGTGGACTTCAGCTCCCAGAATTCCCCAGCCAGCATGTCTTAAACAACCGGAAAGTGCCAGGTTCTCTATTGCTCTTAATCTTTACTGCTTAGGATAGAGATTGGGAAAATGTCTGACTCCTTCGACTATTAAGGAACTTCAACTTCCAGAAACCTTAACTACCAGTATTAGAGGATGCTGGGAGATGCAGTTCAGTGGTGTTTTCAAGCCTAATTCCGCTTGGAAACTCACAGGTTTATGGTGAGGATAAACTCACTGACAAGGGCAAAGGACAGAAAAGCTGAAATATGTATGCTTCCTTAAATACTTTGGAGTCAAGGTGATCTGTAAATAAATTGCATAAATAAATAAAAACAATGTTTTAGCCATGCAAAACTAATGTTATACTAGGATATTGATATAGCAAGCCCTTGAGAACATATTTTGTCTGTAGGTGGCAGTAACAGCACTGAGGATTGCCAACTGTCATAATCAAATTTGAGCAGAAAGTTAAATTGCAAAATGCCCTGAATATACTGTCTTTGCAAAGCAGATGACCCAGTTTTCTGAGCATATTTAAATATTTAATCTTGTGTACAGTTAAGTTTAGTTGATTCTTTTTGAGTCCTATGGTACTGAAGCATCCTTAATTGTTCAATAGATTGTAGTAATTATTTCAAAGATCGGTTGGCAATCTACACCCCCCTTGGAATGGTACTGTGGTTTGTAAAAGCAATATTACTTCTTCACTGTGGCACAGCCAGATGGCTACATTACAGTGCCGTCCATCCTTGAACTAGGGCATAAATTGCTTTGCCCTAATGGCCAAGCCCTATTCTCTCTCAGTAATGGAGTAGGAGACTGTTGTTGACTGTTGTTCTTATAGTTTTAACACAGGACAAATTAAGGAAATTGATTGATGGATTTCCTTGGGTTTGTTTCCTTTTCCACTGAGAATCACCTGCCAGCAGGGAAGAAAACACCAATATATCTCCTTAAAGTGGGTGGGGTGTGTGTTAGCAGGTAAATCTACCTGTAAAGTTGCCTGATTGACAGAGGACAGGTATGGAGTGTTCTACACGTATGACCAAAGCATCCAGCCAAAGCATTTCTGAATTTAAGCTCTTTTGAAGAAATACTAAATCCATGTTAAGCAAAGCTTGGCTGATAGATCATGGGGTTGGAGGAAGGGTGATGAGAAGCATTAGGGGTGCATTCTCTCACTTCACTCTCTGCCCTTCCTGCCATGCCTGTGACCTATCAATCTGGCTAACAGCTGTGGAGGAGGGAAAGATGTGGGGTGAAGTGAAGGGAACTTTGTCCTTGCATAGCGCTGCAAGGAAATAGTACTGCTGGCTATGAGTGGCTGCATCTGGAGAGGGCCCACGATGTAGGCAAAATTTATTTATTATATGACTTGTATGCTGCTTCAACTGACTCTACACTGTACACTTGTACATTGTACAACTGACTCTAAGCCATTTACAGCAGCCAGTCATATATGGATTTATGGTAAGAACCACAATTTTGAATTGCATTTGAAAACAATCTGGAAGCTAGTGCAGCTCTTGTCACAGTGGGTGTATTGTGAAAATAACAGGTTCAGATAATAAGCACATGCACAACCACATTTTGCACTAGCTGAAGGTTCTGGGTGGCTTCAAGGTAGCCCCATGTAGGGCACACTACAGTAATTCAGGAGAGAGGTGACAAGGGCATGAATGCCCTTAACACATCCCATCCTAGGCTGCAATTAGAGCACCTGTAGAAACCAGACAAAGTCCCTCTTTGTGACAACTTCCACTTGCTCTTTTAGCATGAGCTGTGAATCCAGGAGGAGCCCCAGATTGCAGACCTGCTCTTTAAAGAAAGCACAACCCCATGTAGAGAAAAAGTTTTACTATCTCAGAAAGAACAAGCTTTTGAATCAACAGCCCTTTTGTCTTGCTTGGGCTGAGTCTGAGCTTGTTTTTTCTCATCCAGTCTCTGATAGCCTTCAGACACTGGGTCAAAACTTCCACCTAATCTCCCATAATGGGAAATCCCACAACCACCAGTGAGAATTGCCTGCTAAGGAGGAAGCAGAACAAATCCTAACATGTGATCCAGAAGGATGCCATGGTATCAAAGGTCACTGAGAGATCCAGTTAAGATAAGGGTTGCTACACTCCCCACATCCAAACCTCACCACAGGACAGTGATATAAGCAACCAATACAGTTTCTGTCCCAAGTCCATGCCTAAATCCTGCTAACCAAAGATTTAGATAATCTGCTTCTTCCTTAGATCTATGTAATTTTGTCTTATCTCCTTTTCCACCACATACCCCCATAGAGGAGGTTAGATATATGATAATAGTTGACTAAGATTCCTGGGTTGGCTTCTAATGAGGGGGCATACCAGAGCCTCTTTCAAAGCAGCTGGTAACTCCTCCTTCTGCAGAAAGTTATTGATCACTACTTGGTCAGCATTACCAGCCCCCTTCCTGGCATCTTAACCAGCCAGGTGGGGCAGAGATGAAGCTCCCAGGAGGCCAGGCTGGAATCACAAAGGATCTGTTCCACTTTTTTGGGATCCATAGACTTACAGATCTTCCACATAATATTCCAAGATGCCGCCCCTACCAATCTATTGGACTTTGACCATCTGGCTTTCAGATTTGAGTTATAGGAATGATTTTATCCATGAAATGACCAGCCAGCTGATCACAAAAAATTATTTTGGCCCATCCTGGATAGTGCTGCTACCTGGCATTTCACAGTTGGAAGAAGGGCAGAAAGATTATTAGGCTTCCCCACCTTTACTGTCATAATGTAGGCCTGAGTCTGAGTTCAAATCCATGTCTGGTTATCTCCCTTCAGTGATAGTCCAGAGGTTTCATCATTTGCAACTCCTCACTATACCAGTGAACTTTCCTTCATCAGCAGAAAAGGGCAGGCACCTCAGAAGCAATCCTATTTAGTATCTTTATTGGCCCCTGTATTCCAGAGCTCCAATCCATCCTAACCCTAACCCACCAATTTAATCCCAGATCAGGATTAAAAAGAGTATTGGGGGGTAGAACTGATGGCATTCTCCAGGCTTCCTGTGATACACTGAAGGTTCCTTCCATATATATGTGTGTGTGTGTGTGTTTATATTTTGCAGAATCCCAAATCTCTTCGTCCAAAACATTTTTTTGGATTGAGCTAGCTGGGATCCTGACTGAGGGACCTAATTTAATGAAGAAAATTATTTTACAGGAAAAGATTGATTAGCTCTCACTTTCTGCCCATTTTTCTTTTCACGTCACTTCCTCCTTAGGGCACTAGACATATGTAGAGTTACAAGGAACTAATGTTTGGTTTAGCTTCTAAGTGGAGATTTTGCTGGACACTTGCAAGCCTTGGGGATCTAATTAGTGTTCTAAAAACTGCAGCCAAAGCACAGCTGAGTTCCTTCAAGGGGCAGAGAGGGCACATTTTAGGGAATTAGGGACCATGAGAGGAATAAAGGCTGTTCCATCATCCAAGTACAATCCAAACAAAAGTAGAGCTGGAGGTAAAACTATGGCACCATCAGCAGCAATTTAGAGGATTTAAATACATGATTAGCTTTAAATTTCCAGTGTCACAGATCAGATTAATTCTAGCATCAGGCAGTTTCATAACCCAGGAACACGTGGGTAGTGCCTGAGGACTTGAATGCTGTTCAGTTTATAGGACAGTCACACTACCTATCTTGAATGGTCCACTGGAATACCATTGTCATTAAAAACAAATCTGTTTTGCAGAAAAAGTAAGAAAAACCTTAAATCAATTTTCTTGCAAGAATTAAGAAAGCTATCACAGACACTTGGAGTCAGACAAAATGATTTACAAAAAGAATAATTTAACCAAAGCAATGATTATCTAAATACCTTTTTTTAATTATTATTTTTGGTGCCTTTGAGTCAGTGTTGACTCCTGGCAACTACCTGGACTGGTCCCTGCAGTTTTCTTGGGAAGGTTTTTCAGAAGGGCTTTGCCCTTCCCTCCTTCCTAGAGCTGAGAGAAAGAGAGTGACTGACTCAGGGTCACCCAGCTGGCTTTGTGCCTAAGGCGGGACTAGAACTCTCAGTCTCCTGGTTTCTAGCCTAGTGCCTAAACCACTGTACAAATACTAGAAGATTATTAATGAATCATGTGGCTTGTGGGTGACTGGAGTTTCACTTTACATTTTGCCCACACCCAAACCTCTTCTGGGTGTAGACTGTAGAGGATCACAGTCCAGCTATGCAAAACATTAATAGTTTCTTTCTGTGGAGTTTTCTACTGAAAATGTGTATCTACCTGGCAAGTTTTAAGGTAATTTTTTTAATTACAATGTTGTTGAAACCAATTAATCACCTTGGCTGTATCTAAAGCGTTTATGTTGTGACATTCTAGAAAATAGCATAAGACCTAATAAATTGACTTCAATAGGTGTAAGTCAGGTGAAGAAATATTAATTGACCAAAAGGAAAGTTATATTTATGTCATCCAGAAAAGTTATCTGTGGTTAGTATCATCTGGTCAATTTGCTTGATCCTTGATTTTTTGTTTTTCTCTATGGAATCATCTTCATATTGGTTTTCAATAAATGTTCACCACAGCATTAAATAATTCTAGATAGGAGCTTAAACATCCACAAAAGCAGATTCTTTTCTCCAAGTGTTGGTTTCACTTTCAACTTTTCTGGAATGACCTGCAAGATTAGATAGAAATAACACATAATAATTTACTTTCAAAGTGGGCATTTCTTACATTTTACTCAACATTAACTATATTCACTCAGTAAGCAACATAGCAGTATGAGAATGCACACAAAGAGCTTTTAACTGTTTGATTTAGAATGCGGTAGAATCAAGTTACGTAGCAGGTCAAAGACCCTGAAACAACAGCTGGCAGAAGTGGCAATCCCGTTTCAAAGAATGTTTAAGGCAAGAAGGCAGAGACTTATGCAATTCTTTTCTATATGGGGTTGTGTGAGCGCGCGCATGCCTTCAAGTCAGTCGACTCCTGGCAACTGTCTGGACTATACTGGCAAGATTTTCAGAAGTGGTTTGCCACTGCCTCCTTCCTAGAGCTGAGAGAGAGTGACTGGCCCAAGTTCACCCAGCTGGCTTCATGCCTGCTGCCTTAACCACTACATCAGACTGACTCTCTTCTGCATGGTAGTTGCAGCAAAAACAGTCTGATAGTACTTAACAATTAACAGATTGATTCGAGTATAAACTTTTATGCAATTGTTAGCACCCAAGTTACATAATGTCAGGCAAGCATTAGAACATTGTAATAATCCAGCCTTCTAAGCAAAGGGTGAGGCAGTTGGTATAAATACATAGGCAATAATTACGTAATGTTACAAGGGGGAATATACATAATGTGGCTTACTTGGAGTAAATGCCCAGCTCTCTGGAATCATAAAGATAAAACTTTTTTTAAAACCTGCATTAACATCTGAAATCTATATTGCTAAATAATAAATTGCTATTGCTAATAAATTGCAAATCTAGATTGCTAAATAAATCCTACCTCAGCATATAGAAATAAAATGTTGCTGTCTATTCATAACGTAGTTTGGAATAATAAAAATATTTCCTTTGTTTTAAGGCAGTGCATAGATATACCGCAACATGCATAATCTTCCTGCCCTTCCTATTGTGTGAGAAATACTTCTATCATGTGTGCTTTACTTTTAATCTGGGATGCCTTTTTATTTTTTTAGAGAATGTAGGGGTTTTTGTAATAAAGTTATATAACCAAGCACTGTAATGCCTTAGGGAAATAGAAAACTCTCCAGTTTTCTTCCTTTTTTCATCTACTCAGTTGATGTATTTCCTTCTGGGGAAGGGTCTTCTTGAACTCAGTTAAAACATGCACAGGATGTCACATCCACTTTTTACTTTCATTCCACAAGTTGCTTCTCTAACAGTTATTGAGGCTATTGATAATTGGTTTTTATGAACCCCTGAATTACCTAGTTACTAATTATTTATTCTTTCCAGGACTCATAAGGAAGAATGAACCTTACCAGCATCTTTTACGCTGCACACTGTTACTTTTTCAACGACTTCTTAGTGGTAAAACAGAATTCATAACATACTTGTGGATGTGACTTTTTAGTTTGATCTGCTGTTTTGACCAACATAAACCATGTTTCATTCTACTAAGAAAGACATTTTGAAATTTTTTACCTGCAAAGAAATGGTCAGTCATGAAAAACAGAAAATAATATTTACTAAACGAGATTTTGCTATTATTATTTTTGGGCTTGTAGTTTATATATCTGATGTTGGAACAGATCTCTGGATGGCAAAGAACCTTTTGTGTGAAGGCCAGTATTTGAGGGGTACTTTAATACTGTTCACAGGACTGTTTTCATCAATAATTATTCAGTTTTTCAGTTACACTTGGTTTAAAGAAGATGATGTTGAAAAGCTTGATTGGTTGTTTTTTCTATTACATTCCTTATGTGGTGGAATATTTATAAGGTAAGTGCCAAGGTTTAAACCTAGAACAGAGATACTATATGCATAAGGGCTGTAAATGAGTTTTTATAGATGGTGGTAATGTTAACACATCATGTGACTACTTGTTGAATTTCTTGAGACTTTAAATTACTATTCCTACCTGTATGAACCAGGTTTCTATCAATACTTGCTTCATCTGAGACAGTTTATGTCATGTTATGGTTTATGTTATGTTTAGGATAGTTTATGTCATGTTATGGCTTGTGTAAAGGAGGCACAATCCACTTGGTATTTCAGTTTGAGCATCTAAGACAATGTGATCTGCCTTGGTCTCAAAGTGAAGGTGACACGCTCACTTTCACAAAGTGTAGATGCAGAACCAATCTGTCTCAGCTGGTTGCTTTACTTCAAGGTAACTGGTTTCTATGCATTAACTGCAATATGTGCAGAAAACCACCAAAGGGCCAGTAAAACAGGGTATGGTGGATGACCTTTGAAAGATAAAGGGGTTTGTTGCACTAATACACAAGCAGAGGATATTAGGTGTTACTATACAGTACCAGAAATCTGTAGGTCAGCAACATCTGAGAGGCCACAAAATCCTACATCTGCTATTTCTTGCACTTCTTTTTAATTCTTATCCATCCAGTTGTTACATTATTGTTCTTAGAATTCATCTACTTCTTCTGTAAGCTGATAAAATGTTGAAAAGTAAACGATTAAAATCCATGTAACTATATGTTAATACATTACCTATAAGCCAATTTATATTTATCTAGCTTTGAAGAAGTGGAATCAGATGCAACTCATCAACTTCTCCCTAGGTACAATAAACACCTTACTTTATGAGATTCCTTGCCAGAAATCCAAAGGTAACCTCTAAGCTTCTCAGCTGTGAATTTATCAGCATTTACGTAAGCTAGTCAGTCTGACCGCTATACAGCTTGGAGACTCAGAGGCTCATGTGAATAAATGGTACAACAGCCTGATTTACTCAAATTGTTTTTCTGGATTTCACAACGCTTAGATGCTAGAGTCAGATGGTTAATGTTCTTGATTGTTTTATAAGCAGAAAATAGTGCAGGGTTTGTTATTGAGAAGGATAAATACATATCCACGTGACATAAGAAAGCAGTTCTATCTTGACATTTTGTTTCTTTTGCGTAGTAAAATCGAAACCATTAATGGGGTATCTATTGTTTCTGTCTGCACAGGAGTCATTCTCAAAGGAACAGGAATCAGTTCTTGGATGTTTAGTTTATTATTTCACAGATGCATTCTTACTGTTCAGTAATATCTTCTATTAAAGGAACGTTGTTCCTACTGTGGAAGAAAAAGGCACTTTCATCTGGTATAATATAGAGTTTCAGATAAACAGTCTTTGTCTATCTATCTGCTACTGCCATGCTGTTCTATTACAAAATATGAAAATTCTACCCCTACACTCTAAAAATGCTCAGAGAGAGCAAGAACTGTACTTTTGAGCATTGTTAATTAAAGCCAATTGTTGAAATGTCATAAAATATATAGTCAACACTCTGGCAGCTGCAAAGAAATGTGCAGCCTATTTTTTCCCTGGTGTGATGAAAGGTGTTTAACCCAATACTGCAGCTGTCTCAGCGCTGAGTAAAACAGTGAAAAGCTGGCTATTGCTATATTTGTTAAGTGTGTGAATGGAGGAAAGGCATGACCTCTTTGCTGATTTAGTGCTCTTATTCCTACTTTCTGTATTAGCTGGGTTCTCTGATGTTTCTACCTATGATGCAAGAGCTTTCCTCTTGGAAGCATGCCTAATCAAAATAAATCCTGCCTGCATGATAACATGGGGCCCTTAACAGTACTAGTTGCTTGCAGATTCTGATGTAGGGATCAGACTTCAATCTGTGGTTCCTCTATTGGCAACCAGGCAACCATCCAGCACGTACAGAGAAAAGGAGGCATTCCACCCCAATAACAGACCATTAAAATCACTAGCAACCATAATGCTTCCTAGTCAACAGTCATATGTCACACAGCGTGGTTGCATTTTTTTTTTTTTTTGGAAGAACACCCAACCTTTTTAGTGTGCGTTGCAAATAGAAATGGAACAGGATTTTTACCTAGCTTAGAGATGCAGTAACAGGAACCAATGTATATATCATGACTCTGTTGCAGAGTTATCAAACAACAGCATAGGAATAACCCAATGAAAACAAATTGATCAGCAATACCAGTCTTCTGTGATGCCATCAGAACAGATTCATCACTTATACTATTGTTTCCTAACCTTGACAGAAATCACTTGTCATTTCAAACCATCTGACTTGGGCTTAGCAACCTCAGCCATCCCTAGTTTAACACCCGTAGCCACAGAGCAAAACTTACACCCTGTTTTTCAGTCTGAAGCTGTACAGACTACAAGTAAGTGGATTCTGAAAGGCTTCTAGTTTGGGGAAGGCTGCTGTAAGAATTTAAAAATGGATTGAGTAAAATGTAAGCAACATTCTCATGAACAAACAATACAGTTGTCAAATATTTTGGAATGCATTTACAATCTTGTGGGTGGACATGCACGAATAGCCTTCATTTCTCCCTGCATTCCTCTGTCTTCCCAAATCTGGTCTGGAGAATTCCTAATATTCTGGAGCAGATTTGGAATTGCTCAGAGGGCAGCAGGGGAGAGTAAAATCTCTTTTGATTGCATTTTTCTAGAAAACAGAAACATTTGGATAAAACTTGATGAAAGTTTCAGGCTTTGTGTATATTGAACTTCTGGAACCTTCCTTATAATTATGAATTAATAGTAGTTGAGTATACTTATCCTGGTGAAAAAGTTATTTTCAGGATACAAACCTTACTGGGAGTAACTGATTGATCTCAGTGAGGTTTATTTCTGAATTTGGTATAGATTGTAGTGTCCTTCAGTGCTGGACCAGAGATGTGGAATCCATTATTACTGTTCCAAAGGAAAATCTTGATATAATGGCAAGAGACATCTTCAGGACATACTGGAACACACTGAAAATTGCCATTTTGTCTTTCATTTCTAATTCCTTGGTATAGTATGATTTGACAATAGAAATAATTTCTGTATCTCCCAATACCAAATACTCAAGATTTGAATTGCAAAAGTTCTATAGGAGGCAATGAATTAATCTGTCTTGAAATATTTAATCTATTATTCATTTTTAAGTTTTGTTCTGGAGGATATTATTTTATAGCCTCAAGGATGCATTATTTAGAGAACTGGGATTTTGGTGGTGTTACAGTGCTATGGAAAATGCTAAAATAAATTTAGTATCTTTTCAGCTTTGGAAATCCATGTGTGCTAAGAATAAATAAGAATGTTAAACTGCTATGAGCCCTAATTTTAACAGTAATATAAAGAATTAAGGTATATTTTCCAAGGAGACATGCATATGCTGAGTACTTTGCATTACAGAGCTCCCCTGTGCTGGATATAATAGATAAGAACTATTTAACGGAAATAATTTCAGTCTGCCATTGCCAATAAACGAAGGCCCTTCTGTATGCAGGAGGAATTCTATTACTGGATGGCAACAGTTCTATATACTAACTGGAAAAAAAGTACAATATGCCTTTAGCAGCTGGATTGTAAAAACAAAAACTGAATCTCAAGTCTTGTGATGCAAGGTGTGTGTAAGTATATGTGTGAATGGATGGATGGGAGAGTGTGTGTCTTGGAAGTGATCTTGGATGCCATGTAGTCCAACCGCTGGCCAGTGCAAGGTCTCTAATGCAGGTTATACCTACAGCGGCTATGAGAGATTGTTGTTTAGCTGCTGTTTAATCCTTGCAGTAAAAAGGAGACCGTCTGTTTTAAGTCACCATTGTTAGTTTAAGATTACTGCAAGGCAAATAGCTTTTGTCTGTTTGAAAGATAGGTTGTGATTAAATGCAGCACACACATACTATGATTTAATTTAACCGAAGTCCCTCAATTTGATGTTCTACAAATTTCCAACTTCTGTGCAACATGATCACCAAGATCTAACATAGGGAAACACTTATATAGGATTCTATTTTTAAAGATTCTGAATAAATATAGTGAGCAAATATAGCAAATGGAATGAGAGTATCACTTCCAGTGGTTCTCATCTCATGCCTATCACTAATTGCTTCAATATTTCTGGATGTTTCTGATAGCTTTGTCTTTCGTTTAGCTGACTCTTGCATATCAATGTTTCTAAACTGACCCTCTGTCACTCCAGCATGAATGACATTCAGTATTAGTTCAAACGATGATCTACAGTTGTGCCTGCAACATTCATTTCCTTGAATGAGAAAATCCATAGAAAATGAAATTTAATGGAGATAAATGAGAAGTTTTGCTCTAGTTTAGATGGAAATTGTAGCATCTGTGTTGACATCTTGGAGGGTGATTTTTACTTAACATGCAACTGTGATGGAAAAAGGATTTGCTCAGATATGGAAGGAGTGGAGTAGAAAATAACAGGCTATCTTCATTGAATGAATGATGATGCCATTAGATAGATCAACAGTGTGGATATGGAGCATTTTATTTGTTTGTTTATTTATTTATCATATATAGCATCAGAAAGACAAATGGAAGCTTCTCAGGATTTTTTGTGTACGGATATACAGTAATATATCCGATAACCTTAGATAATTCTTGAGTGAAATGAAAAATTAAGCTTTGCAGCACTTTGAATCTGAGTCTGAAAACTGGTTTCAGAGTGCACAGGAGTATGAATATCTCACCTGTCTGCAACTGTTCAAAGCAGCTGTGTCTTTTCTGTACAACTGTTGAGCAATCCTGTAAAATGTGACAGTTTAAAGAATTACAGATGGGTACTAAATTCACACCCTACAGTCTCCAAAGCACTTTTTGGAACAGAATCTGAAGCACTACTCAGCCTTAATATTAGATAATTCCACCGTGAAATCTACTTGGATTGAATATGGTGCTTTTTTCCTAGTGGAATTCATACTAGGAATTCATTCTCCTAGTTTAATGAAAAGTAGTGCCTCCACCTCCATAAATTTAAATAGGGATATTTTAGTAAATGAAACAGGAAAATAATCCTTGATATGAACTCTTTTGTTATCTATATTTACTTCCTCATATGATCACCACCATTCATTACACACTTCTGCCAATGTTGGACAAGCTTCTTAAAGCTGTCACAAAAGAACTCTACACTGTGTCTCTTTGTTCAAGTCCTGACAGTCCTTTCCCCTGCTCCATTTGAGTCAAACAGATGCCTACCAAGGTAATCCTTCAATTTTGGGAAAAGATGGAAATCACATGGCACCATATCTGGACTGTATGACAGATGGAGTAAAACGGTGAGATCCAACTTCACTATTGCCTCTTGGCTCTTGAAGTGTGAGGCCTAGCATTGTCATGTTGCATCATAATTTAATTATTCTGCTTCTGAACTCTGCTTCATAGTTATTTCAAAAATTTCAGTATTGCAACACAGTGCTCTGAGTGAATAGTGGTGCTAGGTTCAAGCAAATTCATGTGAACAACACCATCTGTATCCCAAAAAACCTGTAACTATCAATTTTCCTGCCAAAGCCTGGTTTTGAATTTTTTTCTGTAGGGGAAGCTTTATGATATTCTATGGTCTGATGCGTCATTCCTGGGACATAGTAATAAGCCATGTTTCATCAGCTGAAATGATGCTGTGAAGAAATTCCTCACCTTTAGTCTCATAACATGACAACAATTGCTGGAAAATTCAATTTCTTGAAGCATTCATCTCTGCTGCTAGTATGCAAGGAGCCCATCTTGAACAAACCTTCCAATATTGAAAGACATCAATAATGTCACTCACATGTTCCTGTGAAATGCCAAGCTTGACAACATTGTTCCTTTGAGTGATCTGCGAATATTTTTAATCAGTACATCAATCTATCTTATGTGAAACTCATTGGTCGCTATCCTAGGTCATCCACTTTTTTCTTGATTACACAAATCAGGTCTTCCTGGATCACTGTCTTTACATTTTTTGGCTAAGTGACACATGGTAATCATGAATCCCATGAATCATGATTATAAACAACCCATATTTGGCAGTGAATTTCAATTGGAAGGACTCCTTCAGCAGGCAAAAATTCAATCACAGAGCATTGCTTAAGACACATCGTAGAGTACTTACTACAGGCTGCAATTTCACAAACAATAGCAACACAGCTTTTTCTCACAGTGAAATGAAAGAACAGATGCTAAAAACATGTCTGAGCTTCTAGCACATCAGTACTGCCATCTGTTGGTGATTTATAGCAATGGAGGCATTATTTTTCATTCAACCCTCTTAGCATCAATCACAGATTAGCTAATTCATCTTCCTTGTAATAAAATGTTTTCGATGGGGTAGGGAGGAGTGGTGAAATCGCCATATGGCTATACCAGGAATTGCTGTAGTAATAGAACCCTCTGTGTGAAGACTTTATTTCATTTAAAAGATGTGTATGGCAGCCTGTATTATTATATAAAATAACTCTGAGTGGCTAACAACAAATAGATAACAAAATACAAAAAATTAAAAATTTTCTGGCTGCTGGAAGCATGCAGGGTTTAATGCTTAAAGGAAAGAAGTAGAAGTTGTGTATACAATCCCTATCTTCCTAGCAACTGAATAAACAAAGTCCAATCCTCTAAAAGTTTAGGATAATTTTCTATGAAAAATTTCGTATGAAATATTTTCCACCCAGCCTGAAATGCTATTCAGTAAAAGTAATGGTAAGCAGAACAGATTTGTATGGCTGTCATATTTCTATTCTTCAGGTAATAAAAGTGCAAACTAGATTACAGAGGAGGTGTATATCAATCTTCCATAGAAGGAAAGAGAGAAAGAGAGAAAGAGAGAAAGAGAGAGAGAGAGAGAGAGAGAGAGAGAGAGAGAGAGAAAGAAAGAAAGAAAGAAAGAAAGAAAGAA